AGCGTAGTTGGCTTCTGTGCGTTCGCACATTTCATCTGCACCAACGAACTCAACCATATTAGTTAGGTATTGGGGTCTATCGACACTATTAACATGCCCTAGTTCCCATTATAGCGCAGGGGCTACAAACACTATTGGCATCGCCTTATTCAAGATCACGAAGACCCCATATTCTTCACGCCCATGCTAGCAAAAGCGGGGAATCCCCGAAGTTCTTAACACTACGAAGCGTACATCGTTGTTGTCCTAGCCGCATTCTCTGAATTCCTGCTTGCAGCAAGAGTGCAAGGATTTCTCTGAAATATAGGAATTCACTTTTGGGTAAGCTACTGGGAAACTCAACCCCCTGACAGTGGGGGCCTCCTGCCCTCCACCAGCTGGTAAGTATTAGGCGACTTAGCACTGAAAAGTGGCAACAACCCTGCGTAACGAGGAGGGTACAGCTTGGATGTTTCAGTTTATCCTCCCTCCTGATAGGCGCTGTCCCACTGGAAAAGGTGCAGAAGGGAATGAATATGGACTATGCAATGCTGAGGGTAAGGAGCCGGAGGCACAGAGTTTCAACAGCGGTTTGTTAATCTCTCGCATATCCCCCTTTGGCCATCGGTCTGTCCCCAATAGCAACAGATGCACAAATATAGTCAATGATTTCAGGTAGGCCGGTCAACACACAGGGGTACTAGAAAAGTGGAGCACCTGGCGATAGAAGCTGCTGAAGTTGTAGTCGTATGTTGGCCAAGGAAAAGGCCAATTTGAAAAGTTACACAATGATCAACCGAGTGCCTCTTTTAACCAGAGAAACAATTGGATATACAGTCTGGCTTCCACTGTCTCAATCATTGGGCCGATACAGCGACTGCTAGTACCCTAGTGAGCAGGCGAAGGGGCCGAGGATTTCCGGCTTACGTGTTACAGAAGCTTTATGGGGTAGTACGTGTTTCGTACATGACCTATCATAGCAAGCCAAAGCCCGAGTATTGCCGAACTATTACTTTATAGTGCGTACAAGGACCTTCAACAATGCCGCCGGCTATTTTACGCAGGGAACTTCTTGATGCGGTCTGGGTAGCTTGCAGGTTGCATGCACTATTCCTTCTAGTCCGCCATATTTTTCCGTGAGGTAACCGATAACGTGGGATGCTGTGCTTTTTCTAAGGGGAGCAACAATCACTGATTAGTTCACCAGATGTAGTACTAATTTATCGCCACCTGGAAAAAACGGCATGAGCCAATGAGGCGGTGTGCCCACAGGGATTGCGTACTCCAGTTTTCTTCAGGTTTGCTATTGATCTAAAGACCATAGCGTTGATATCAGCTATGTTGTGCTTGTGTCGTACTAGAGACAGTGTGTTGAGTACCACAATAACTGAATGGCGTATGTACGCTGCGTTGATCGTTTTTCAGCTGCCGTCCCTTCCTGAATATGTTGACTGTGCAGCAAGTACGTAATTTTGCTAGAGCTGAGTTACAGCTAAGGCTGAGATCAAGCCCAAGCACAGTTTCAGCTTGCTTATGGCCAGTTCATTGAACGAAATGGATACAGTCCAATTAGAGGAAAACTCCTCTGGAGGTCCTGAAAGTTAATGTGTTGTGATGCGCTTTGGCAGTGGGCCTCCCTGTTGTTTGGTGTACCCTTTCTAATGCACCATTTTGCCTTCCGCAACTTAACGGAATATGCCGGATATCTCTTGTTTGGATTGCCGGTCGGAGCAGTAGGTCGAGGCCAAGTAGTTGTAACTTTAAGTGTATGCCTACGCAAAGCAGATGGCCCTAATATTTTTCGTCGAACGTAAGTAGTTTCATAAACTCCGCCCTGGTGTGGGTAGCCAACAAAGTCTCCAATCAAAAGAAAAGTGGCCGTGGCTCATCAGTTTCACGAGAATGCGCCTCATACAGCTGGCGAAAAGGATGGATCCCCCTTCATGTTCAGGACTCGAGATGCCAGACTTCGAGTAAAGATAACACCCTTAAGCTTACAACCGATCTTCCGGGAAGGTTTGGTGAAAACCCAAGACGTCGGCCGGTCGACTGTTCGACTTCGACAGCATCCGGAGACTGTCTGCTTTCTCAACCTAGCCATTGCTTCACAGTGCATACTGCTTAGTACTTTCATCTAGCCGTTGGGCGGAGTGGAGCATCAGGCAACAGAGATTAACCAAAAACTGATTGAAAGATTACCCTAAATGAGTCTTTGGCATTGGGTAAGAAATGTACGTAAGAGAAACGTGGGCGCAATTCCTGTGAAACTGCGCCGTTGAGAGCGTTTAGCAAAGGCCTCATATGCATCCGACATTAGTAACCCCACCGCCTCAATAACAAACAAAGTTTTACACCCCCTCCATCCGCTGAGCTTGGAGTCGCAAGGCCACTTGCTGGGCGAGCATGCGGCGGCTTGTGCAGTTGGATGCACCCCTTGGGGCCTCGCAGATATCTGAGGGAAAAGAAACAAGCAGATATGGCTACAATTAAAATTCGGAATCGTTCCGCCTTCAGCTAGCCTATGGCATCAAGAAGAAAGCGTCAATGGCTTCACACCAGGCCATAAGGGCGAATCAACCGTTTTATTAGCGGTTCGTACCAGCTTGCAGAGCCGACTTTCCAGAGTCATGCTGCACGGTTGCCGAGAACAGCTGCACCAAGGGGACACATAGAGCTGTTTTCTCTCAAGCGTTTTATTGTGTTGCGTTGGTTTCTATAGCAGTTCCTCGGTTGCTGCTTGGTACTATTGCCCTCCCACGTGCTCGATGATTACGACTGCATCGCAAATATATATGTACCTATCCAGGAGGCAAAGAACATACAAAAACTCGCCTGCATCGCTGCTGCCATTCCTCGGAGTGAAACGCCGCGGTCTTTTTGCCGATATGTTTCCGGTGTCTGGAGTAACAGGTGAAGGCAAGGCAGTTCGGCGCTTCTAGCTAGGAGTTGTTGGTGATGCTGTTGCTGTTGCTGCTGTAGTAAAGCATCATTAAGCTCCCTTGCCGTTTTGCTTCCGCTGGGCGGAAAGGAAAGTCGTCGTTGCCCGGGTGGGGTTGTTGATCTTGTAACAGCGGCATGAGTGGCAGAAGTTGTGTTGCTCTGAGAGCAAACTGAAGGGGCTTTGCCGGAGGCCTGCGCAGCTGCTGGTTGCCAGCCTCCAAGCGTTTTGAGTGGTGGCACGGCTACCGTTCCCCGCCTTTTCTGCTTGGAGTCGTGCTGGAGCGGATGCCGTGGTGAGAGATTCCCTTGCTGCTCCTGCTGGGCCTCCGGCTGTCGACGGCTCTGGCTAAAGCCCGCGGGGCTGCCTCCCAATTTACCTACTTGGACGTGTTTAGCCCTTTGGAAAGCCGCCTGTGCAAAATAGAGGGGACGTGGAGCAGCGGTGACGCGTCCATGCAGCTCAAGCTCCATCTAGTCAGTAAGCAAGCGCTAGACATGCCCCAAAATGCTTGATAGTGAAAATGCAGTTTACTGCAGGCCCAACAACACCGTAGCTGTTGGGTTAGGCGGAGAAAAAAGAATTTCCAAGCTGCAGCGGTGTTTATGCTAGGGTTGCTACCCTGGAGGTCCACACACTTATACTCTTACTTGGGCTTCACTTTGGTACTGACAACAGAATTTGTTGTTTATGTTTACAGCATCTCTGCTGATGTTTCGGAAGAAGAACTCAAGAGCTCAGCGCAAAAACACAAAAACCCATAGCATGCAGACTCTGTTGTAAAGGTGTTAGTGGATGGAAGAGTGCTATTCCATTCCGCAAGTTGATAGTGTTTCGCCATGTTCTCAACGCAGTTACGCAAATTAGTGCACCTTGTGGTCGAAAAAGTAAATGGAGGAATATGTATGTGCAGATATGTTGAGCAAGTGTGAGTGGAGTTATTGCAGTGTGCGCGGTGCCAACAGTTCACATGGTCCTCTCAACGATGACGCTCTGCAGGAGCACCTGTAAGGGGACCACCAGCAGCCTTGGGGATAGGCAGAGACCCTACCTGCATCTGAGACAATGGGGTGGCCTAGAGCAAGTGCAGAGGCTGCGCATGCAGCGGCTTCTCTTGCAGCAATTGCCTCTGTCAGTGCATTTGCATCGGAAGGCCCCAACAGTTCAGGGCTTGTTGGTGCAGCGTCTGGCGATTTCGTGCTCCCAGCTGCACCCACTGCCGCGGCTGCTGAGCCGGGACTTCCTCCTTCTGAGGGTAACTTTGCATGCCCGGCCGCAGGGCGCTGCTTCCACAAGTTGAGGGATGCTGCATTAAAGGGCAGAGAGAGGCTAAGCGCTTCAAGGGGTATGGCCGGCTCCCCTTGACGACGTTCGTCGCTATGGAGTGCCGGATGAACCGACTTGGGGTCGGTCGGCCTTTGAGAAATAGTACACGCTCCCCGAAGCGCCTGCGGATGCATCCTGCTGGCCTCAGAATGATCTGGAGTTCTTCTTGCATCGGCAGGAGGGTTGCTGTGAGAGCCCTGGGGTGTGGAGGTGGCCATGGCAGCATCTGGTGTAGGAGCAGCTGCTTCAGAGGGAGCTGCGTGCTTCTTCTGCTGCGGCTTAGGATGGCGATTCTCGGCTTGAGTTTGGGAAGCAGCCGCCTTGTGCCGCTGAGTACGAAGCCGCTGCTGCTGCAGCAGCAACTGAAAAGTGGCATGATTCAGCACCGCAGTATGGGGTTGGAAGCAGAGCAGGTTGCGTGTGAAACGGTCAAAGTGGCCTGCAGGAGGAGTGACAGCAGCAGCGATTGAGGCATGCGGCTTTCACCCTACAGCGGAGCTGCAGCGCCCTACATCGTAGCGTACGGGGCTTGTTTCACAGTTTATTGGCGGTGGGAAGAAAGGAAGTAATGGACTAACTAGCTAGAGACATCGAAGAGGCGTCGATGTACTCCCCCATCTGGTGCGAGAGAAAGGGAGAAAACGTCAGAGGCAGCAGAAAACGACCAACCCCAGAAGAAGCCTCCCCGCCACCGCCATTATTCCCCGCTGAGGCGAAGTCGCCACTGCTTTGCGTGGCCTGCACATTGACAAGGAAGCTATTGAACATATTTGAGAAAGGAGGCAAAGAACAGCAGCCACAAAGCCTGTGCAACTACTCGACGTTGCTGCTCTGGCATGGGCCTCTCTGCTGGGCTGGGCTGGGGTGTCTTGGTTTCTGCTGTGCTGGCTCGGACGTCGCGCTGGTGCAGGAGCTCCAGCCGCCGTATGCGCTCTTCTTGCTTCCCGATACGCCGCTCGAGATGCTGCAATAATAGCAACCCCGTGACTCGGACGGCGTCCAAAACACCTGCAAATGTTCGGACAACGGAGGCTCTGTGCTGCTCGGGGTGGGGAATTGAACAGAGTCTAGGGGAAGCTGAACCGCAATGCTCCTTTAGATGGCTACAGGCAAGGCTTAGAGAAACAAACGCGGGAAATGCTGGAGGATCCATTGACTAGTGGAACAGCAAAAGAGACAAATGGTGCGAGCCTCATGAAGGTACACCATCCCAAAGATCGCCGCTTTCCCGGATTTCCTTCGCCTCTGCAGTCCGCTGCAGCAGCTGCAACAGCAACGCCAGCTAACTGCAGGAGCAGCAGAGCGAGGGCGTCGAGGAAAAGCACCCAAGACAATATCGGTGCGTGCAGCTCACTAGGCGGCATGTGCTTGAATAACTCCGACTTGGAAATGGAAAAAACTTGAGTTTTTGCAGAAAAGGCGAACACCGAAAAGGGCTCAGGACAGTCGAAGAAGAGGGAGCAAAAATTAACAACGCACCCCTCCTGCAGCAGCGCGAGATCAAGCTCTTCCAGCAATACAGAAGGAGGCGGCGGCTTCTTATTCCTGGGAGAGCTGCTCAAGTCGGGCAGCGTGGCCCCCTCCTGGCTCCAGTCGCCCTTGGCGGCTGCTGCAGCCGCTGCAGCAGCAGCAGCTGCTGCGGCTGCAGCAGGCCGCAATGGGCTTCGGCGGCTCCCAGCTGTCGCTGGACGGCTGCTTTCTCTGACCTGCAGGTGACGCATGGCAGCAGCAACTACACCCAAGACACCATCATCGCCACTAAGCGACCCCCTTGCTTCCGCAGCTAGCCCCCAGCTGCACCGAACGTTTAGCTGCCGTAGATAAGAATCCAAAGCCAAATGTGGATTCGATGTTTTCTCCTGCTACTTTAATATGTGTCGGTGCAACAGTAGCTGCTGCTGCGGGGGTTTCGTGGGTCGTGTTGGTTTGTCAGTGACTCCGGTGGGCAAGCACATGGAGAAGGGAGAGGGAAGCAGCTGGACAGGCGAGCAAGAACCTCACGGCTTTTTCGCGCTGCTGACGGAGGGCTCGCGAGACAACCTGGCCTTCATCAAGCAGCGAAACAGTAGCAGAAAAATATCCTCCCTTCTTTTAAGTGCCTTTGCTGCCCGTGCAAATACTAGTGTCTCGGGGAGAAAAGGACAAGCTTAAGAGGGCAGCCGTTGTGGACTGCTACTCCCATCTTTTTACACAACACACGGGGAAACTCTACTTGAATCTGAAGGAAATGCACTCAGTCTTCTGCTTCGCAGCACACTTCTCTTTACTTCAAGGAATACAAGCAACCACCATCCAACAGCTCCGCGAACTCTGAACCCTAGACACTACACTCTAGGCCATCAGCACTGCACGTGAAATCCGGGACGTTAAAATATAAACCATAAACCCTATACCCCTCTCACTGACTGATGGAAGCCACCGCTGATTGACCCTCTGACGCTCCCGCGCAGATGGAGTGGAAGTCGCCGATATATCGTCTGCAGGGTCAGGGGGACATCCGCAGGGAAGGATATCTCCAAAGAAACCCAACACCTTAGTCAATAACGCATTTAGTAACAAGGCTGTTGCTGGTGCTTTCTTTGCTGGAGATAAGCCCCACCGCCGGCGCGTCCTCAGCACACATTCGCCTGCAGCGTCCCAGGCAGCAACATCAGGCTACTACAGCTTTGTCTAACAACCAGATTGAAGCAGTCACAAGCAGCAGCAGTAGGAGCAGCCGCAGCAGTTGCAGCAGCTATTTCTAGTGCTCATGGTGCAGGTGCAACAAACCGTAGCCCGTAAAAGAGCATAACGGTGTTTTAGTGCTCTCTCGGTTTGTGTGTGGACAGGGGATGGAGCGTAGCAGTAGCGGCGATGGAAGCTGAAACAGTAACATTCACGTGCCCTGCACCGCACCTTTAACGATGAGGTATAGGGTGTCTTCTTTATTGCCCTCTGTGCTCAACGCCACGTCCTTTTGCAGAGTAGCCTCCTTGAAGAAGTAGGTCAGCTGTTCCACCACTAGTTTGCGCAGCTCTTTCGCCCCTGGCAGTACTTGACGCAGGGTTTGTACCTGAAAGGAAAAAGCAGGCAAAGATGGGACGGAAACCTCTGCAAGGAATATGGTGATGGAGAAGCAAGTACAGAATCGAGCAGTAAACTTGACTAAAAGAGAGAAATATCAAGGAAAACACTTAAATAACCCCCAACTCGTCGACGCCAGATGTTCTATACCCCGTTAAATCCCATGCTCCAAAGCGTAATGCGCAAACCCTAAATCATAAAATCACTAACCATACACCCTAAACCCCCAATCCTTGACCCTGAACCCTAGGCCCCCCCACCAAAGCGGCCTCTGCCTTGTTTGTGGAGATGATGCATGCGATGCGACGGATTGCTAGACATTAGGAGCTGCTAGTGTTGAGCTCACTTTGTCGTCTGTCTTTTGTTTTAAAAAGTTGCCCAGGCAGTGCTGAAAGGATTTCTTGTCGAGCGTTAAAAATAAGGAATCGCTGTGCGTCACCAGCGCAGCAGATCGCACGTCGTTGCGAATGAGCCCTGGGAGGCAGACATAAAAAACAGCTGGCTCCAGCATCAGCAGGTCTCTTCTGAGATGCCTCCCCACTTCCTGCAACAGCAACTGCTGCTGCACTCGCAGTTACAGAGCCTTCGAGAAACGACACAGCTTCCTAGTACAGTGAGAGGCCAGCCTTCAACTCTCCGTTATATTCTGCTACGTTGCCCCTGCTGCTGCTGCTGCTGCTGCTGACTGCCTGCACTTGCCGAGTTCTCCGAAGGAATGGCCCTCCCCCAGGACGGCGACGCAGCTGTTTTTGTCCACTCTTCTCTCCCGCGGGGTGCTGCTGGCGCCTGTATGCATCGGCAGAAGACCAGCAGCAGAACAGCATTTTAATGTTTGCTTTTCAGCATATCCTGCAGCAGCGGGAATCGCAGGTAGCTGACGGAGCTGCGGCGGGCTGAACTAACTGGTGAGTGCCACTACTCAGCTGGAGGCTGGAGAGACAGCTGGCTGTCAGTTACTCTGTCCCTGCTTCGGAGACAAATCCCCCTGCTCGCCGCCCTCGCCCTCAGCCGTTTCCTTAAGTTCTTCAATATATACCCCAGCCTTTCCAGCCAAAATGAGGTACCAGTTGTCGGCTGAGCGCAAACAAACCCACAGAAACAATTAACAAGGCAGAACATGTAGACGGAAGGGGGACATGCAATAGTCCCTTCTGTTCTGTTTTAAAAAGTATGAGATGAACCAACACACAAGTCAGGTTACGGAGCCTAAACTGTACACTGCAACCAAAGCAGCAGCATCCGTCGCAACACCAGGAGCTCCAGTAGTACCACCACTGCACGTATATTTTGTGCTGGTTGGCGGCTGCACGCGGCTGGCTTTCAGGTGGACGCAACCGCGGTTCGAGAAAAGAGAGTAGAAAGCTGCACCTGGGTCTCCTTTGTAGAAAACAACTCTGTCTTGCTTGAGTGTTGTGTATGTCATGTGACGGCACAACTCCAGAGACATCTCGCCGTCCAAATCGGCAAAGAATTTATTGTCGCGTACCAAGTCAAAGATACACTCCACCTGCATATACACAACCAAGCCAGCTGCTCAGCAACTGCTGCAGGGCCTGCTCTGCAGAGGTGGGAACGAACAGCTGGCCAGCTGAGCGATTAGTCTCTTTTGCAGTTAAAATATATAATTTTATGACCCTGTTGAAAACTCTTCTAAAATTCGACAAATCCTATCATGTACACACAAAACTCAACCCAACACGGAAGGAAGGTATTTCGTCACTTCAGACAATCTAGAGGACGTGAACAAGCACACAATACAATGTTGAGGCAAGACAAACAAACACAGGCGCGTGAAGAAACAATTGTTGTTGCTGTTCTCAACTCTCCAACCCAAACAAAACCCTAAAAGGCCTCTGACGGCTTCTGATAAAAAGCAGGCATTTCCCTCCCCGAAGCCGCTGCAGAAGGTGAAAGGCAGGGTTGCCAAATCGTGAAGTATCAGAAGAGTAGGGATGACAAAAACTGCTGGAACTCCCGCCTCTCTGGGGCAGAGCTTATATATATGCAAATATCTTAGATTAGTGCATCGGTAT